GCGAGTCCGGACTTCTCAATTGCGGTTCAAGAAGGTCCGGAGGTCGGATTCCTCCTCGCCTCGGCCGGCATTTCCGGCCGCACTCGACACACGTTGACTACAGGCGTGTGAGGGCGGTGTATTGTGCGGGGCATTTTCACGACCCTCGCAGTGGTACGAACCGCCCCGCGAGGTGTGGGAGCCACCCTCCTAATGACGATCGGGGTCATTCTGCTGGTGGTGATAAGAACCATCGCGCCCAGCATTCTCGCTTGGGTTTGTCTACGAGGTGGCATGGGACAACTCGGGGTCCACTCTTTCGTCGAGTCTCAGCTTTGCCGATACCCTGCTCGGGGCACCTTTTGCGTTCGCTGGTCCTTGGGAGCCCGTAGGCTTACTTTTCGCCACTTGCTTACCCTTGCGCCTACGCGCTGCAGTGCTCGCGGCACGGGCTATTGCCCTTTGCCGCGCTTTCGCGCGACCTGCAGGCGTCTTTGGCGGTTGCACCGCCCTAGCTGTGTTAGATGACATGCCTTGGTCCAAACGGTCCAACCTTTGGTTGACCGTCTGGAGAGTATTGTCGAACCTCTCCAGGTAGTTTCTGATGGCAGGGTCAAGTTGTGGAGCTGCCGGGACATCCCCCGCAGCATTTTGTGAAACTGGAACTTCTTCAGTACGCTGATTAGCTTGCCCTGGCTCAGATTGGCGGGCCATCTGCTGTTGCAGGACCAGTAGGTCAAAGATTCTCCTGATGAAGGGTAGACACTAAATCAGGCCCTCCTTCTAGCGCCAAACTGTTGATGCTGACTTTCGACACCAACTAATTATCACGTGAGTATTATTGATTGGTGGATTAACACGTGATGATGAATATATAAAGCGAAATAAATGCGGAGAAAGCTTTTAAAGTGGTTCGGATGCTAAGGTAGCAAGTCCTACGTCCACTGATTTGTATTGATGTTCGTGTGGGTCAGGTCGCCAAGCGGACTGACTTACAGAGGAATTATGAAAAGTAAGTGTGTTTACAGGAGAGAGAGAGTCCTTATAAAAATGGCCGAATCCCCTTAATGAAGGGGTCTTCCTCATTTTATACCAATCTGAAGCGTGTAATTATCATTAAATCCATGGGTTGGTGTGATTGTCAGGATATAATCCGGCTTTATGTCCAATTGCTCTCTTCCCAAGCTGATTTCGCATGATTTACTGCAGGGGAAAGGGACGCGTGTGAGCCCCATATCATGTAGCAGGTCTGACGTGTGCGTGTTGTCCTGACGGGAGCAGGTCACTCTTCACGTGACTTTCCCACGTCAGCCCTTATTTCCCCAGGCATAACAAGTCTAAAGGAGAATCCATTCACTACACATAGTTTTAATAAACATTCTAGCCAAGAGAGGGTCAATGACTACACATTATTTTAATAAGTTAATAAGTCCACTCTACATAAAATCAAATATGAATTCTTATTGGGGACATTGGTACAATATAAATAGACAGTCAAATTCAATATTGAATCATCTTTGGGTTCGAGGAGTTCATCTCATCTTGGGAAACTATTTTTAAGCTTAGACTAGTTTGTGTTAGGGTTGTTCAAAAAAATCCGTAAACCGAACTGAACTAGTAATTGGACCAAAAAAAACTGATTTTTAGGCCGATTCAGTTTCAGTTCAAGAATTTCTTTGAACCGATTTTCTGGTTCGAATATTGGTTTAGTGAATTATGAGAACCGGTTAATAGAAATTGGTTTTTAAAACCGATTTTGCAATAAAAATTAAAAAGCCCAAAAGGAACAAAGGCCCAAAACCGGTTTAGTGAATTTTTTTTTAAGTTTTGGCGTATATTTTTACACTGTCCTGGGGGAAAACTGGTTAACCAGAAAAGCGGTTCGGTTCAAAACCGATTACCCCTAAAACCAGTTCGGATAAAAAAAAAAAAGGGTATTCAAACCAGTTATTTTGAACACCCCAAGCTTTGTGTAACAACAATATTTAATAAGAAAATCGATGCCATTATATATGCTACAGAATTTAGAAATAAATTTTAACTAGTTTAATAGCCGCATATAATACTTTACCTCCATGCTACTTCTTTTTAAAGTGCCCCAGTACTTTTGTTTTTTTTTTTTTCTTTATAATCTTATGTTTTGTATGTTAAGAAAGCTTTTGTGCAACGATTGTATATACAACCAATCAATAAGAGTATGTCACTTCAAAGTACATGACATACATGAGAATCCTTATGGATCGGTTGTACATAAGTTGAACAAAAATTATAATACTACTTTACTTCTAAACTAATTTATTTAAGTTCTAATGCACTTAATTAAATTGGATTAAATGTGGCTGATGCTATATAGTTTGGAATACGCCCGTGGTTTTTATTTGTATACAATAACCATTATTTTTAATAAACTATATGGTCGATTTTGATGTTATAATCAGATGATAAGATAAATGTGACGTTATTTATGGTGAAGTTACCATTTGATCTATAGATGAGTTTATATTGTTTTATAAACATATGTTGAATAAATGTTATATACTGATACGACATTTAGCACATCGATCACACTCTTCCTTCCATACTTCACTAATTTAACTAGGTACTAATACTATTTGACTTGACCACGATATATGACTTAACAGTAATCCTTTGATATTGTATTTATTTTAATTTCTTAATAACTATTATAAAATAATCATATAATTAGTTTTAATTAAATTTATTTATTCTATATATATTTTAAATAAATTAATAAATGAGTTTAGATATTTAATTTTTTTATTTAAATTATGTTGATGCAAGATTTACACTAACCATAGTGATTCGATTAACTTTGATGGAATTGAACCTGATGTATGCGTGATTATTTAAAATCAACAATGTAATGAATATGAATTCGTTAAAATAAAGAACAACAAATGGTTTTTAAAGTAGTTCGGCAAGTTGAAACTTAAACCTACGTCCACTGTTTTTCTTATTGCTTTAGAGGGCTTACAAGAATAATATTAAATGCCTAGCATAAATCGCTAACTCTTCTCTCATTGTTGGATGAGGTTTATATACAAATATTCGACAAAAGAAACAGAGAGATTATCGGGATTACAATCAAAATCAAAGTGCAACTCTAGTATTCTTGTGATTAGATCGCGCTATTATTGATGTTGATCTCATTCATTTCGCAATATTTAGGATCTGAATTTATCTATGATTTGTCAAACAATTGCTAGGGTTGGTTGCGACTAGCTTATGTTGGGTCGAGCTATACCTCAACGAGCTTATGCTGAGTTGGACAAGTGTTAGATCGAACTGATTCTAGGTCAAACTATATTCTCGTAGGCTTCTAATATCTCCGAGCTTAATGAAAAAATTACACACAACAAATTAGTTAAATGATAATATTTGACACTATGAGTGTTGTTATTTAAGCCCCACTTAAACTTCATTGAGCCCTATTATTAATTTTCAAAATTCAAAAATATATTGTACACACAATTACTAAACAAGCCTATCAATAAAAAAACGATTTAACAATTTCTTTTAGTTTTTGAAACATTCAAACATCCTGCAATGATTAGAATCTATTTGTTTAAATTTAATTATATTATTTCCTTTTTTTTTTCCCTAGAACTTTTGAAGCAAATCTTTTCAAATTACTGGTTTTGTTTGCTATAATGGGTACCAATCTATTTGACTAAAATTTTAATTCACTTCCCCATGGCCATTAGTAATCAAATAAAAAAGAATAAAAATAGAATGATGATTTCTTTATTTTATGAAATCCCATATTTTATTTTCTTGTTTCTCACTCTAATTAGAATAAAACCACTGTAATTGTATACTGCGTGGAACACTGGAACTATTGACGTCACACATCTCTTAAGACACCCCCGACTTTCCCTCCTTTTATTCCATATATATATTAAAAGAGTTAACCTTTCATTTTGTTCACTCATACTATATAACCCTATCAATGTTATTCTTAAAATAAAATTTTAAAGGATTAAATTGAAAGTTTAGAAAAAATTAAAAATAAAACAAATTCTACAAATAATCCTTAGAACATATTACAGTAAAACAACACAAAAAAAATATAAGTTAAAATAGGTACCAATACTTTAAAAACAAAAAATAACAATAGAATTTATGAAAAAAGGAACTAAAAACTTACAATTTTATATTGCTTGTAACTTGATACTTCTTATTACAAATATTCTTCCTCAATTAACTTGTCTTTTTATTTTAAGAATAATTTAAATGACATAAAAAAAATTTAGGTTGATGAGAAAATAGTGGGGTATAAAAAATATTTGTAAAGATTAGGAAATTAAAATTAATTTTAATGATATAATATAAAGATAAATTTATTAGCATAAAATTTATTAATAAGTATAATTTTTTAATTGTTTAGTTGGGTGTCAATTAAGGTGTAAACGAGCCGAGTTGAGCCAAACTTTGGGCTAATCGAGCTCGACTCGATTGTTACAATGTTGAGCTTGAAGCTGAAAATTTAAGTTCAAGCTAGAGCTCACCAAAAAAACCCTACAATTCTCCGCTTTTCCACTTTCTCAATTGAACTTTTCGAGCCTGAGCTTGAGCTCGTCGAACTAAAATTTGTTGAGTTTGAACTCAGCTTCATAGTGTAACCGAGCCAAACTAAGCTAGAACTGCTTGCGAGCGGTTCGGCTCAACTCGGCTGACACCCCTAGTGTCAATCGATCCGTTTTTGTATATTATACTTGGCCCAAGCTTACTTTCGCACCCGTAAATCCCAATCCGTGGTCTAATTATTTGACCCATCAAGACCATAAGGTCCAGACCCAGGGCCCTGTGGCAGTTGTAGAGTAAAAGCGCTACCGTGTGACGTGGCGAGACGAGGTTCTCTTTCATGTCACGCAAAGCAATTTTTAGCCGCGAAACGGTGACAAAATTTGGGCGGGTTAAAATTGAAAATAAATTAATCATTCCCAAATTTCAAAAACAAACATGCCGCCCTCGGTCTCTCCCGTCTCTTCCTTTTCACCCCTCTCTCTTCAAACAACAAACAAACAAAAGAAAAAACTTTTCTCCGAATATGGAGGATCCAAGAACTCAGCTAGAGAAAATGGGCAGAGAACTTAAGTGTCCTATTTGGTACCATCTCGTTTCAAGAAAGTCTATTCATAACTTTATAAATATTAATCAATCAATCAATTTCTCTTTTTTTTTTTTTTTTTTTTGGCAGCTTGAGTTTGCTGAATTCTTCGGTGTCACTTACATGCAATCATGTATTCTGCAAGTAAGTTCCGTTTGGCTTGTTTGTCCGCGCTTTAATTTCAAAAGAAATGCTGATAATTGTGTTTGTTTTCAGTTCGTGCATTATGAAATCAATGAAGTCCGATTCCAATTGTCCGGTTTGTAAAGTGCCCTATAGCCGTAGAGGTATGATTTTTAATGTTTCAATTCATGCTTTTATTGTTAAACTAGTTCTAGTGCTATAATATGCTAATTACCCATTTTCAGAAAATTTCATTCAACTTGTAAGGGTTGGTCAAATTATAGGCAAAAATTGAAAGTTGTGATTAGGTAAATAAGATTTTCGATTTCTTTTAGTTAATCACTGTTTTTATGCAGCTTTTTCACAAACTTAAGTCAAATTTTTTTTGGGATTTAACATTAATTTCAAAACATAACCTAGACTGAGAGATGTGTATTGTTCTTAATTTTAGTCTGGAATTTGATTAGGGCCGCCCTCATGATGTCAGATTTGTTGTGGAAAACTTGTATGGTCNTGCTAATTACCCATTTTCAGAAAATTTCATTCAACTTGTAAGGGTTGGTCAAATTATAGGCACAAATTGAAAGTTGTGATTAGGTAAATAAAATTTTCGATTTCTTTTAGTTAATCACTGTTTTTATGCAGCTTTTTTCACAAACTTAGGTCAATTTTTTTTGGGATTTAACATTAATTTCAAAACATAACCTAGACTGAGAGATGTGTATTGTTCTTAATTTTAGTGTGGAATTTGATTAGGGTCGCCCTCATGATGTCAGATTTGTTGTGGAAAACTTGTATGGTCAGAAACTAATGAATTTGTGAAAGCTTTTCTTTCATGTGTGATTTGTCTAAACTTGTTTTGATAAAGATAGTTTGCTTTGTACAGGTAGACGTGAATGAGTGAATTAAGTGCTTATGTCATGGTTTTTCAGTTGTTTTTAGCTCTTCTAAATCTTGTTGTGTTCTTATATTATAAACTTTTTTAATTTTGCCAGAGGTTCGTGCTGCTCCTCACATGGATAACTTGGTGGGCATCTATAAAAGCATGGAAATTGCTTCTGGAGTCAGTATATTTGTCACACAGAATGAACTATCAATTAAGTCATCAGGTGACATTGTAACACACTAATTTCAAATATAAATTTCATGGTGTCTCTTTATTAATCAGAAGCAAAAGCCTCAATATAAGAAGAATATGCATAATCTGAATAAGAATTATAATCCATCAGGGGAAAGACAATTAGTTTCAACATATGCTTGACAAAAGATCAGTTTAATGTTTCCTTTTCATCTTGGCTGAAATGTCTTTGAACACTCAATTTGTTACATTTGCACTATCATATGCATCTATGTGCAATAACTACATCTGGTTTGTTCAGGGAGATTAATACTGAATTTTGATATTTGTCCCTTAATAAAACAATGTTCTAATGTTCCTTGTTCCTGGTTATAGATAAAGAAAAGGGAGTTGAAGGTGATCGCATATGCAGTGAACTAGCTGCAAGTATGATTTGTCAGGACAGAGCAGATAATCAAGAAACATCCAAAAGAAAAGGGTTAAGGAGAAAAACTAAAACGAATTTGGATCATTCTGGCCTTGGTACTGTGAAACCATCCTTCCCAACCAAGAAAAGGGTTCAGGTCGCCAAGTATCCTCTTCCAGAAACCCCAAAACAGCCTGCAAAGTTCGAAAATGAACTGGTTAATAACAGCAGCATTCAGTTGAAGGACAGCTCTGTTGATTTAAAGGAAAAATCTTTTTTAAATGAAAAAGGACCAGTGCTTCAACCTTTCTTTTGGTTGAGAGAGGAAGAGGACGAGGAAAAGTCAACTCAGAACACGGACGGGGATGCATATTTAACACCACCAGAGATTCCTTCTTTTAGTGATATAATGGATTCATATGATCAAAGTTCTCAATTGTCTCCAACAGTAAGTTCTGATTTCTAATTGATTGGGTATTTGTTATAATAGTCTCTCTCTCTCTCTCTCTCTTTCTCTCTTCTCTCTCTCTCTATATATATGTATATATTGCCACAAAATCGAAACTTGATTATAATTGATTGTTGTTTTGAAAATTGTTATGAATATATACTGTATTGAACCGCCAAGTTGCTACCAACTTGCCAAAGTTACTCAAATTTGGTATTTTCAGAATTTGTTATGTCAAGTGATGTCACATTTTTCCTGAATGCATTGGCTGACAAACTTGAGATTTATATCATATTGAGGGGATGTATATGCTACTTGACACTAGAGTAGTGATGATTGTTTGATGCCACAGATATGTTTTCTTACATCTTGCAAATTCGTGTAGGCAGAAACGCATCATAGAACTGGTGATTTGGATTACTTTGATAGTGAGATGTTTGAATGGACGCAAAGACCTTGCTCCCCAGAACTTCTTCCAAGTCCTGTTAAGACACAGGTATTGTTGCAAAAATGTTATGTTTGTGTTCAGGCTTTTTAGTTTTGCTTAGCTTATTTTTATTTTCTCAAAGTTCTAGTGAAACGCAGGTGGTACATGCTGATGAAAATGATCATATTAAAGAGAAGAAAATAGGAACAGCTTCACATGTTGGAAATACAAATGAACAACAATCCATTGAAAATGCTAAAGTGAACTCAGAAAAAGAAGATGGAATTATAGATGAGGGTTTCCCCAAATCCTCTCCTAGAAGCATCGATATCAACAATCAGATTGGAAATGGTAAATTGGGTAAGAGAGGCATGAAGGCTAAGAATATTGCCAGAGCTAAGCGTTCAAAGAGAGATAAAGTTCAAGGTTCCGAAATTCAAGCTGATTTAAGGGAGGAATCTGTAAATGTTGCACACCAAATAAATGACTGCACTGGCAGTTCCTCAGTTTTGAAGGCTAGGAAAAGGAGAGAGAAGCTTGGCTTGGGTAACTGTGCAACTGTGCCCGAAGATCAAGATGTACTTGTTCCTGTCAGGGCTGAAAATCCAAACCAGGGTCGGAAAAACAGGGTGTCTGATTTGCCTGCTTCATTTGATAAGAAGCAAGGCAGTGACGAAGAATTTAACTTGGAGAAGACTAGAACAACCAGCCGGAAGATCAATGGCCGAAACTGTTTGAGGTCAAAGCGGCAAAATATGGGTCCTGCTGAAGTCAGCGTGCTTAAAAAAGTTTCTGCAGTTCAAAGCCAAACTAATGAAGACACAGTTCTTAAATCATCATTTAAATCTTTCTGTCTGGTAGATGGTAAAGAAGCCTCTGATCCCAAGGAAAAAGCTAGCAAAAAAGCTAGAAAACTAAATTCTGCTTTGAATTCAAAATGCAGTACAGAAACAAAGTGTAAGAAAAGGATGAAAGTTTCTTTTACTGCTATCTTGAAAGATGGGTTGGTTGACAGCAATCAAGAGGGCCACAGCAATGATTCTGCAAAGGGAGTTCCATCAACGGAAATTGTTAAAGGCGAATCTGATTTTAGAGTTTTAGATGAATCATCAAGAATGAAAAAGGTTCTTGATAAAAATGGAATGGCTTTACGTAAATGTGAAACCCTTACTAGCAAAACTCAATGTTGTTTCTGTCATTCATTGCAAGACACAGAGGTATTTCTTATTCCCTTGCTTTCATGCTAATATCAATCCACTGTCAATCTCACATCTGATGACCTAACATCTGAATCCATATTCCAATAGTATTAATCTGCAAACCATGTTACAGGCTACAGGAGAGATGGTCCACTACTATGATGGCAGGCCTGTTGCTGCAGACTACAATGGTGGATCCGAGGTCATACATTCACACAGAAACTGCACAGAATGGTAAGAATTTTCCTCTGAGAGCTATTTCTAAATCACTGAATAAAAGCTAGGACTTTAACTTGTTTAGTTTTCCCGTTCATAGATTTTAATCTCTGTTCCTTGATGAATGCAATCACTGGATAAGTGTTATTAAAGTTATTACGTCAATAAATCTGACAGGCTTTTGAGTCATTTAAAAAAAAAAATAGTTTCTTGTTTTAACTTCCAATTCTTTTTGATAGTGTTGATGGGTATAATAATTCAAGAAACTACATACAGGGCCCCTAATGTTTACTTCGAAGATGACACTGCTATTAATCTTGAAGCTGAATTAGCTAGAAGCCGTAGAATAAAATGTTGCTGCTGTGGACTCAAAGGTGCAGCGCTTGGGTGTTATGAGAAGAGTTGTCGCAAGAGTTTTCATGTTCCTTGTGCAAAGCTTATATCACAATGTCGATGGGATACTGTAAGCAAATCATACACAGAGCTTCTTTTAATACTTGATAAAAAATTCTTGCGTGGCATGTGTCTTATTTATTGTTTGTACTTTCATGTTTGGATATATTTTGCAACAGGACAACTTTGTCATGTTATGCCCTCTTCATGCCTCTTATAAGCTGCCTAATGAGAATTCTGGACCTCAGGAAAGCAGGAAGAAGTGCATTTCAAAAAGGTATGCTGACTATTTTATCACATCTGTCTTAGTGTTCTTCATGATGTGACTTTGAATCATTTTTGCTACTTGAAATTCTAATAATATGCTGGTATCATTCCCCTTTCTTTTTCAGACAATTGCACTCACAATGCAATCAAGTTGCTATTAAAAATGATACTAATACAAGTTACAACTGGAAATCTTCACAAAACAAGTTGGTGCTTTGTTGTTCAGCCCTTACAGTAGGAGAGAGGGTAAGAAAATATCTGATATCATTTTTTAAGTAGGATTGTAAAAGCAAATTTTAATACTTTCCTGATAACTTGAATTGCAGGAAATTGTTTCTGAGTTTGAGAGATTATCTAAAGTAACAGTGTTGAAGTCATGGGATTCAAGTGTCACCCATGTCATTGCATCAACTGATGAAAATGGAGCAGGCAGAAGAACCCTAAAACTTTTAATGGGTATCTTGGAGGGGAAATGGATACTGAATATTGAGTGTTAGTGTCAATCTTTGCTTAAGATTTATTACAATTTTTTGGAGTACTAAGACTGAGACTTCTATGCTGTGCATATTTTTGTATTTTCTGTTATTTATATTTATATATATTATGCTTGAAGGTCTCATTTTGTCAACTGTTCTTACATGTATTTGTGTCTGTTTTCAGGGGTGAAGGCCTGCATGAAAGCCATGAAACCTGTTGATGAGGGGCAATATGAAATTGCTATTGACACGCATGGAATCAGGGGTGGTCCTCGATCAGGAAGACAGAGAGTCAAGAATAAGGTTGGTTTGTTTCTCAAGTATCTTCTTGACACTCCATTAAACTTTACCATTTAAAGTCATCCCATGAATACTTATTTATATTTTTTATTTTTCTGTCTGGCAAATCTTAGAGGGGTGTTTCTTTTACTGTACATTTTCTATCAAATGGCTGTATGTTTAGTTACTTCAATTATTCTAATTTCATTGATAGATATGAAGATGGTATAGTGCACGTTTTAAGATTGAGGTGTTTGTGTTTTCCTGTTGTCCCAAATTGTTTATGCCTGCTTATGTCCACGCATGTGAAATGGCATTCCTTATCAGTAATTCTTGCATGCAGCTACCAAAGCTTTTTGATGGATTGAAGTTCTATCTCATGGGAGGGTTTGTGTCTTCCTACAAGGGATATCTGCAAGACCTCATAATTGCTGCTGGAGGAACTATTCTACATCGGAAACCTATTTCAAGAGATCAGGAACTCTTGTTTGATTCATCTCCATCTACTACAACCTTCATAATTTACAGCCTTGAGCTGCCCGATAAATGTGATCTCAGCAAGAAGACTATGATTTTGAATGGCAGGCAATCAGAAGCAGATGTTTTAGCAAATTCAACTGGAGCAAAAGCAGTAAGCAACTCTTGGGTTTTGAATTCTATTGCAGCCTGCAAATTTCAAAGTTATGAACAGTAATTTAGAAAGTTCGTAGTTTTTAAATCTGTCGTTCTGCACATTTAGTATCTAATCCATAACAAAAGTGGATGAGTTGGTTTATTTATGCTCTTGCATATGTATAAACATCATTTCAAACTAAATTAAGTTATTTTATGGTTGTATAATAATTCTGAAAGCTTGGTTTAAGATTGTATCTCTAAAGACATGTCATCTGTAGCTTAATGCATATGTGGCAGTTGATGTATAAGTGCATTATAGACAATTGGACTTGCTCAAATTATTTTAGTTTATTGTCCAATTTGGAGCATCGAAAACCATAGGTTTATTTGAAATCTCAAAGAACTTTGGATTATGGATTAAGAATATTAGCTGTTTTGACAATTTATGCACTTATGTTCAGAGTCTGATAATGCAAATATGGAGAGAATTTCGGGATATTAGTCGCTTGAATGTTAGGTGGGATACATCACACTAAGTCAAAATTTTAGAGCTTGTATTAAGAGCTGGTAACACTTTAACCTAAAGAAAAAAAAAATTATGAAGAGCCCACAAAATAACATCAAATACATCTTTATATAATTCCAGAAGTGATAGGAAAAAGTAACGGAACTATACAACCTTAGAAGACAGTATGTGTTAAGCTATAGCTAGAAATCAGAGCTAGTGAACTGTAAGTGTTCCAATAAGTTGTAATGCCACTAATCATTTCTACTTTTGACACATTAGACTGCTTCTCCTCTTATATATGATTATGAAATGCATATAGTTTTTGCTTCCCCATCACCATCAAGAATCAAAAGCAAAACTCTTTCTTCTCATGCAAGCAAAAGAATTAAGGCTTCCTGCCACTGGCCTGAGCTCTGGATTTACTACTCTCACTCTTGTTTTTTATATGCTTTCCAATCTTCATATTGAAACCCTTAAACATAGTCTCTAATGCCGAAATTTCAGCTTCAATGTTGACTGGTTCTTCCTTAGTGGCTATTCGTTGCCTCAATCCCTTTACTTGATCTACCCCAGCTGCTACCTCAAACCCCATTTCCTCCATTGTTGCTCTCATTGCTACGTTTTCTTCTTTTGCATCTTGGTATTTCCTCTTCAAGGATTTATACCCGTCAAGTGACTTTAAAAGTTGCTCCGAGAGTGCCTTAGTACGCTCTTGCAGCGCTGCATTTCCCTGTATCTCCACTCCATTACTCTTCTTCTCTTTGTGCTCAGCTGCATATTGTTGTACTTTTGCCAGCAATGTGTCATTCTGAGCTTTAAGGTCACTGACATGTTCCTCCAATTCACTCAATTCATGAACCTTTTTTGCCAGCTCCGAGGCCATAATCTGCTTCTCCTTTCCTAAGCTTGAACACATAACTTCTAGGCTCTTTCGAGCTGCCAAGCTCGCTGTAAGCTGTCTTCTCAATTTGTCTTTTTCATCGTTTGGAAGTTCACTAGTCTTTGTTTCTTTCGGGGGATGGTTAGGCTTCAAATCCGTGAAGCATCGCCAAAGCTCAGCAGTTCTTCTAACAGATTGAGATTTTTGTATTCTTGTTTTAACATCATCTATAATAGTTATCATGCCTGCTACTCTCTGCGTTTTCCGGTCATCTTGATTTTTTGTACTTGCCTCATTATGATCTTGAATTAGTTTCAGCAGCAACTTTACATTGGCAGCAATACCTAAACCAAAACAAAAATATACCAAATTTCAGTTTCTTTCAATCCCATATCAAAAACAGAAATACATGTATATTATTATTACCTTCTAAGCTATGATCCTCCAGCCGACTTGAAGAATTATCAGGTACTAATTCTGGAGAAGAAAATGCTCGATGTTCGTTCATAGTTTCCTAAAAAATGCAAGGAAAAAGCTCCTCAAGAGAAAATCACTGTATATAGTACAAAAGAAGAATGGTGGATATATACATAAGAGAAAAGGGTAGGGTAAATTAATTTATTACTCTATTTTATATGATCTCTCTTGAGAGATCCGAAGAAGAGAGACTGCTTTTTTCCACTCTCTCAATCCCTATCCTTCTCTCTAT